AAAGGACAGATGAGTGACAGGACAGGGGCACTTCAGGGGGCCAATCAGATTTCAGCTGGGGCCAATGCCCCTGTGGCCTGCCCCTAGAACCGCCCCTGTTCCTCATAAATTGTAAGTTAGTAAAAGTTATCTATGAAAACCTGCAAATCGTGTTGAATCTTCTCTTCGTCATAATGAGGTTGCAGTTCGTCYCCCAGCAGTCTGAGCCTACAGCAGCAGAACTAGCTGTAAATCCAAACCTAAATTTTCAACCATAATAAAAGTAAAACACTATTTCTTGCTTTCATGTCAATTTTTAAAGCAAAGCTTCAARCTTGTGCAGAAGAAAGAAATCAAAATTTGACTTCCTTCTAGTGTTTTSCATCTACTTCCACTTCCTTCTCAGAAGTCAGGGATGATGCTGCAGGTAAGGAAGGAGAAAAGGTCTGAAGCTCATCTGAGCAAGAAAATTGCTTCATAAATTTAATCTAATACCTACACAGTGTTATATAACGAGATGGATTCARTTCTTGTTGAAGGAAGCACAGAGTGAAGCTAACAAGCTCATTTCCATTGTGGCCTCGGATCAGCACACCTTTTCAGAGGAACGGTCCCTGACCTTTTACAGTTATTATTTCATAACCCACAGGTTTTTTTTTTTAATGAGCCCGTAGAATGCAGCGAGCAGGAGCAGCCAGCGACGCCTACAAAAGTCTCCGGGTGTCGCAGCGCATCATGACTCACTCGGTTTGCAGAAAATTCTCCCGGCAGACTGAGAAGTCAGCCGCTGATTTCTGATAAAAYGCTTCAAACGGAGCAAACAAGAAGCTGCCACAGAAACTTTGGTGTAAAGATTCAGCGGCACGATCAGACCCGACGGTGAACCGAGGAGCACGTTGTGACTCAAAGTGCAGCTGTGAGCCTCATACCGTCAGACTAACCTCATCACATAAACAAAGATTATTACTCACATCACAAATATCACTTTTCTCATGAGCAAATACATCTGAAATGTGCTTTGGTTATTATCACACATGATTCGATCAGACTTTGATGCTAAAGATATGACATGTCAGGGGCGGTTCTAGGGGCGGGGCCACAGGGGCATTGGCCCCAGCTGAAATCGGACTGGCCCCCTGAAGTGCCCCTGTCCTGTCACTCGTCTGTCCATTTCCTAGGCCCGGGGTGATGATGGTGAATGCAGTTCCATGTTCAAACACTAGTTGTGCTAATGAGTCAAATAGTAAAGTCCAAAATGAATCAAGCTGACAGAATTCTTCTCTTCTTAAAATGTGAACAATCCTGCAAAAAAGTCTTTCAGCTGACAAATGATGGCTAGATTTTTTCACATGTGTGTTTGAGAATATTTTATCTATGTACAGTAAAATGTATGRAAACCTGGTGAGGAGAATTTACTGTGCAAGATTTTTGGTACCACTTTACAATAAGGCTTCCCTTATAGAGATGGCTTATAAAGAGTTTATAGGTATGTTATTTATTCATTTGTAAAGTTTACACTTCATAAATCACTAATAAATTAAACTGGACAATATATTATAGTTATTACATAACACTTATTAATAATTTTTAAAGTGTTTACAGATTAATTAATAACCTATCTATAAACTCTTTAAAAGCCATCTATAAGGGGGGCCTTACTGTAAAGTGGTACCTTTTAAAAAAGTTACATTAAATTACAAGTGTTTGAAGTGTAAAATATATACAATGGGAATTTGTGTGAAAGGATGTGTAACAAAGACTTGGCCCTTCTATGAATATTGTGGCCCCTTGATGGCCCCTTACTCAGAAAAATCCTAGATCCGCCACTGTGACATGTATCTTCCTCTTGTCATTAAATATGCATCTCATTTTGTCTTTCAGGTTAAAATATTTGCAGACATAGCACGAAGTGGTGCTACAGACCTGTTGTTGCTGTTGGTACTGCAGAAGCTGCTGTTGCTGGTATTGATGAAGCTGCTGAAGCTGCTGAAGCTGCTGGAGTTGACTCTGCTGCTGCATTGTGAGCTGAGCCTGGTGATGCTGAATGTAACCGCCTACCGTCCCGTCGTAACCTTCCGCTGGCGTGCCCCCGACTCCATTGCTCCCGCCTGGAACGGACACAGAAACAACCGGATGGTTTCGCGTTTGGAGACTTTGGAAATTTCAGGGGAGTAAAGAACCCTCACCAGCAGCCATGATGTAGGAGCCTGCAGCAGGCGAGACCACACCCGAGGGCTGGCTGGTGATTGGGTCCCAAGCGTCGGAGGACGACAGGCAGTAAAGACCCTGTGAGACGTACGTGTGAGGCCAGACGTCTGCAGAGGAGTGATGGAGCACCTGGTCTGTTCAGGGGCAACGAAACAATGAGGGGATAAGATCCCAAAAAACAAAACTATTAAATAGAAGAAATAAAACAAAGCAACAGCAAAAAAACACTAGAATTGAAGGACATTTAAAATGGTTCACCTTTTTAGCTATATATTGGACAGAAATCTGACTAGAAATCTTTTCTAATGCGCAAATTAGAAGCACCTGTTTCAAAATGGGAAGACTCACCAAAAAAAAAAAAAGCCTGAAAGTTTGACTTGGAAAGCCGAGTTTTTCTGCCAGTTCTGTGCATTGAGAATTCACAGGAGCATTATGGTTGTAAAAAGTTTAACATGAGCATTATTAGCCTGTCTGAAGTGATAGCACTTAAACTTTGTGGAGGAGAAACATCCCCTCAACCCTGCAGCTTTTTAATCATGGCTGTGTGTTGGACGTGTGTGTGTTGCATGTGTGTGTATGTGTGTGTGTGTTTATGCACGAGGAAGCCCTGAGTGGAGCCCATATGGTTGGTGTTAATGAAAGCAGGGCTAAGTCCTTGTGCTAACCTACAGAGTCCCTCGGGGCTTACACAGAGTTGTACACAAACTGAAAATGATTTAGTTTACAGACTTACTGTGTGCACAGCTGAAAGTGGTACATCTGTTAGGATTACAAATTTAGATTAGAAAAAAAAAGTTGAAAAATGTACAACATTTAGCTTATTGGTCACTGTGAAATGTCTTCAAACCAATCTTTTTATTTTAAAACAGGTTGTAAAAGTTAAATGCTTCTCACKTCTCTTTTCATTCAGCTCATCTTTCACATTTCTGGTGATGCTCTCACAGAAACCCATCTGATAGCTCCGAAATGACAGACCATCATCCAGATTTGTCATTTAGAGGAGTCTGAGTCAGTGCCCTGCAGGTGTGAAATGTGAAGCTGTGTGGTCGTCCTTCAAAAGTACTTTTGGCTGAAAGAGTGACTGACGTGGCTTTCTTTTAGTTTGCAATGCTCACATTTACAATTGAATTAAGAGGCCGGTGATGAGAGTGAACGGAGATGTTTGAAACTCTTGCAAACTTGTGCAAATTTTAGACGTCTACACAGCAAAAATGCCAGAATTAATTTCAACACCAACAAAGTAATGTGGACCAAATATGTGTCCACATTTGTTGGTGTTAAATAACATTAAATAACATTAAATAACATTTGTGAAAGTGTTAAATTTTGTTCATACAAAACAATCTTTAATGCAAAAGTATTGAGAGGTAACGCAAAGATATTGCGAGGTAACGCAAAAGTATTGTGAGGTAACGCAATACTATTGCATGGGAATGCAAAAGAAAAAAATCTCCCCATGTCCCCTCGCGGGGTCCGTATCATATAACAACACTGCTAAGTGTTTTATAAGACTTAACAGTGGGCGGAGCTTATTTAACACTGTCCAGTGTTGATACAACGCTGAAGAAATCAACACTGATTTAACACCAACACTTGGTGTCAGTTTATTCAGAAAGTGTTAAAATAACACTAGCGGGTGTTAAATCAACACCCAAAAGTTTAACGGTGAAATTTTAACACTCCTGTGCCGTTTACCTCTGCTGGTTATACTCTCCTGGTTGACCTCACTCAGGTGGGCGACACTTCCCTGGTTGGAGCCGGCTCCCATGCTCTCGCCGTCCATCGAGTTCCAGCCGAACAGAGTCGCCTCAGAGATGGCAAACTGCTGCATAATCCCTGRAGACGACAGGTGACTACGTTACAGTTACAGAAAGATTTTTTCTAATTAGAGGTCGAGTGCTTAGTCCAAACATTCAGTCATTCTTCACTTCTTTATGTTTTGGTTCAAATGAGTCAAACTTCATCATCAAACGTTAGAATTTCGGAGAGACGGTCTGATCCAGAGCACGTCTTGTTTGACGTTCACCTGCGGCGAAGCGAGCCTCCTTCTCGCCGTCGCTGAGGTCGCTGTAGGCGTCGTTCTCCATCCTCCTCTCCTTCTCCCGCTGCAGGTTGGTGTGGCCCAGCGCCCCCGGCGGCCCCGCCGACGGCTTGCCCCAGCTCTGCCACTCGATCATGTGGGCCACGCGACCCTGGGCCATGGCGGTGGGCTTGGTCACCTTGTCCTTCATGGAGCGGGTCACTCCTACAGCAGGTATGAGGGACCAGCAACACACGTAGACACACACACACACAAACACACACACACACAAAACACTGTCAAAACTCCTTCTGGCCTCTGCAGTTGACTACACCTCCAGCTGAGGCACAGGGGGGTGGGGCTGGGGGGGAGTAGAATGAAGATGAGGAGCTGTGATGAAGAAGATCTGTTTAATCCTAAAGAATGGGAAGTGATAAATGTCTTGGAATGAAGGGATGACTTTATACGTTTTACATGAGGTGGAGGGATTATTGTGACACAGAAAGGATGTTTTGGACATTTGCATTGTGCTGTTAGTTGAATCCTATTTATATTACTTATTAAACATTCCATATAATTAAATTCAAAGTATTTTCCTTGTCTGGCAAACTTCCTTAATGCAAACTCTGTTTGTGCAAAGTAAATGCAGATCCAGTGCTAGTTTCCTGTTTGTGAGTAGATCTTTCTCTCAAAAACATGCTTAAACTATTTAAACTCCTCCTTTTTTGTGTTATCCTTCACAGGAGRGAACCTATGACTTATTATGGTCAAAGGTTTTCTCTACTCAGAGTTTCCTACATTGGTTTCATGGCACCAGGCGATCTCCCATCCAAGTACTTACCAGGCCAACCCTGTTTAGCTTCCATGATCAGATGAGATCTGGTTTGTTCAAGTTTGCCCAAATTTCTTTTAAACAAATATTAAATAGATTTTTATAGAATTAGGTCACGTTTATTTTCGCTACATAGGATTTATTTGCATTTAAGTGTGAAATTTAGACAAATAAAAAGTCTGAATAGTCACTAATCTGATCAGTGACCTGCTCRGGTCAGAGGTCAGAAGAGGTTTGGTTGCCTGAAAGAAGAAGACAAATGTGATGACTGAAATGCTGACACAGCTCTATAAAGAAACAAATCTATATCCGCTGGTCGTGATCAAAAACAAAGACRAGGATTCTTTGGTTGCAAACTGAACTTCGACGATGGATTCCCRTCCAACCTCGTCCCATTTCAAATGCAAACACTAGCTTCAAACTAGGGGCACGTTCCTTGAGTCAAATGCAAGCAGAGTGCTTGATTGATTAAAAAAAATTAAATTAAAATCAAGCAGGCATGAATAAACGGAGACGGAGCTTTTGTAAAATTGCTCCCCAGGTCCGCGGGGCAGGTTGCAGGCTGAGTTATAAATAGACTCAGTTGTCCCTTTAGACAAAGAATCTCATCTGAAAATCAAACTGGCTGCAGAGACTAATTGGGGATGGAAATAGGAATGGAGATGAAGAATGGAGGGAGGGTGTTGGGGTCTCAGCTAAAAACTAAAATATGATGCTATACACTGGTTTTAAAAATATATTATTTCTGGTACAYGAGACACAACAAAACAAGACTTTTTACACAAACAGGTGCTACACAACGCTGAGCACACACAGAGAGAGGAAAAGAGGCACCAGCCACTGTACTGCACAGAAACACCAGCACCAGCACCGCCACGGTACAGAAACACTACGCTCCCCCAACACGCCTGTGGAGATGCTTCAGGAGCTCGTTAAAGTAAGCCGCCTCACTTACTTTATTTCCTCTGAAATCAAAGATCTGATTGAAATTCCATCAATGACTCTGAAACGTGTCATTGACATCAGCTGGTATCAATGGAAGAGAGGAGGGGAAATAGGGAGTGATATAGGAAGGGGCACCCACAGGGGCGGTCATGTTGAGTCCAAGCTCCGCCCCCTCCTCCTCCTGGTTGAGGGTGAAGTTTTCTGTTGAAGCCAGGTGTGATTTACCAAAACCTGCTAATTTACAGCGAAGCGTTAAAAGGTCATTTCTGCGCTTTGTCTTCACGTGTGCCAGTTGGTTATTTAGCCAACAGAAGAGAGCGAAAGGGAAATAAAAGCAGGAGCTSATGTTTCCAAACCAAAAATAAAAGYAGAAACTGTTTCCAAAACAGAAAATGAGCTCAAGTTTGCTTTGGAGTGGGCTTTCTTTTTTCACAGCAGCATTAGGATCTATTTTTAAGAACATTAGTAAATCCCTGTTCATTACCCTCCCATCCCCCGACACGTGAAGCTGGAG